TGCCAAACTTCTTGACGATCTCGGACAGAGTCTGTCTGGAGCTGGGTCTCTTAAGGATGTAGGTGGTAGTGGTACGGCGATGCAAGGTAGCGCGGTGAGGAAGGGTCTTGACCTTTCCAGAACCAAGGGAGAGACCAACTTCAACACCCCAGACTTCGCCAACGTCGGGAACACCCTCACCCTTCACGCCGGAGCCGGGGGCAAGGATGATCTTCTTCCCACCTTCGATCTCATTGCGCTCAAACAACCAGCTGGTGGTGTTCTCAACAACATTACAGTCGTAAGCCTTGGCTACCTTTTCGATGAGGGCGGAGATCTGGCTCTGAGTAGGGGGCTTCTCGGCAGCGGCCTTTTTCTTCTCCTCCTCGGTACCGCTAGCCAGAAGACCTGGGGGTACCATGAGTCTCAGCAAAAGCTCGTTTGCGTAGTGGGTAGCATGGATTAGGTCAGCCTCGCGACCAGTCACAACATCCTTGGTCGACTCCTTGTCGGCAACGACGACCATGTCGCAAACAATGGTACCAAATCCATCGATCTGAGCGCCGAGTTGGATCTTGACGATCTCGCCAGCCTTGAGGGTGGTCTCAGCCTCCTGAGCGTCCGACACCAGGGGGGTGTACGGCGTCACATAGGAGCTTGGGGACACAGTTGTCGGGTGGCCGATACCTTTTGTTGTCAAGCGCATTATGTCAACACCGTACGCAGGTCTCGATGCGGGAAATCTGGCAATCATGGTGATGACATACCCTTGGTGATCTTCTTGCCCTTGTAGACCTTGGTGAGCTCTTCCTCGAGGAGCTCATCGCCCTTCTGGCAGATTTCAACGATCTTGCTGCCCTCCAGGCACAATGCTGTAAACCCGTATTAGGCATCGAGCAATCTTCTGACACAATAGCTTCGTCAGACACACCTGTAACGGCCTCAAGAACCTTGTGGGAAATCTGCGCGGCAGTCTTGTACTTGGTCAGTGTGTCGGGGTTGTTGAGGGTGTAGTCTAGAATTGACCAGAAGCAATGCAACAGTCAGCTATTGCGGGTGAAAAAATACAAGCAAATCCAGTAGGTCACAAGGGACGCGGTATGGTGGTCACTATCAATTGCTAGAGCCATATAGCTGCTAGTTTGACCTACTCGACTCCATCCACTTTGCGCGATGATGAGGGCGGTGGTGAATCCACACAATTGTCGGAGCTTTGCAAAATGGGCGCAAGAGGAGGGGTCAAAATATCAGCGGTTAACACTTACCAACCTCTGGGGCCTGGTTCTCAGCCATTGTGAAGTATATGTTATGTCCTCGCACTGGTACAAGGGCTAGCGACAATCAAAGAAGTTCTAAATAAAACACTCGTCTCAGTACACTAGGAGAGTTGCAAGAAGAGGAGGAGGAGAGGAATTGGGCTACTTTTGACCTGGTAACTTTCAATCGAGTCGTGTGCACTACGCATCGGTCATTACAGCCTGGCGGGGCTTTTTCTGGATTTTCCCTTTCGTTGGTTACGTCGTTGAAGTAGGGCTTGTGGGCGGTGGACGGTGCAGATTTGGCCGACTTGGGTTTAGTGTCGTCAAAATGGGGTAATTCTGTATGCACAGTACAGTAAACTATTCTTGTCACCTGAGGAAGCTGACAAGAGCTTGAGTACCTAGCTTCGGTCCTTGCAATTCCAGAGACACTGATATCTAGCTATGGTAGGTAGGTGGCTCGATGAAATCCATTACAAAGGAAATGCAATCGTATACAGTGGGATTGATTATTACCATGTTTTTGATCATTAAACTTGGAGTAACTGGCAATTGATATGCATAGCTTGAGCTGCTTGACTGTCCTTCTGATATATATACGTCATAGCTATCAGGGTCAGCGCCAACACACGATAGCATGGAAATATCTGATGGATTTGGAGGCTTAACAGTGATCATGTATGGGCTAGAGCTCACAAAGTAAGATACGAGGTTGAACCTGTGCACTATGCTTGTTCATAAACAGAAATGGAGCTGTGTTTTTCTTTTTTACAGAGATCCTGTTCTTATTTAGAGGCTTTCCCATGGGTTTCACCATACGGCCAGCTCCTCTTGATGGACTTCCGTGGAGCTTTAGTCACAGGGAATCCCGTACTCACAATTGCACTACTTTCGGTAGGGAGCATTGGATACCATACACCAGTAGAGTTTATCTGCTGATCTCGTCAGCGAGAAAGCAACTAGAACAAGGCTTTCGATGGACTAATTAACCGGGTTGAGTCGAGATGATCGTGTACAAGACGATAGTAAGCAAGACGTAAGACACATGATCTTGAAGGCATCGTGATCAGTGTCTAAATGCCCAAACAATGCCTTGCGTGGAGGCATCCAAATGAGGAGAAAACATTTCCTTGGCCAATCATAGCCTCCTGTGTCAACATTCTTCTCATCAGCTTCCATCCCACCCTCATCCAGTTTCGGATAATTCCTCTAACTGCATCTAGGGATCATCAGGGTGCAATTGTACAAGTCTGCTGACATTGATTTGAGCCTTCCATCATGAAAAAAAATACCGAACTTCCACTGCGTATACTAACACACAATATCCGCTATGCAACCAGTTCCCCATTCAAGGGTGAGCTGCCCTGGAATGATCGCAAGCAGCCTCTCTTAAATGAACTGCTCTTCAATACGCGCAATCAGAATGCATTCATCTGCCTACAAGAAGTGCTCCATAATCAACTGGTCGATGTTCTATCCGGACTGAACCAACATTCTTCTACTGTTCCCAAAAGCGCCTCTGAGACACAACAATGGGATTACATCGGAGTCGGTCGAGACGACGGTCACAAAGCAGGAGAATACTCGCCCATCTTCTATCAACCGTCTGTCTGGCAGCTCCGTCATTGGGAAAATGTCTGGTTGTCGGAAACGCCGAACAAACCATCCAAGGGATGGGATGCGGCGTCTATACGGATTCTGGTAAGACACTAGGCGTGCGACGAAAGACTCTTCATTAAGCTGACCCCATACTAGACCATCGGTGTCTTCACGCACAACATAACTCGCCATACCATCCTTGCGATGAATACTCATCTAGACGACCAGGGATCTCGGTCCCGCTTCGAGGCTGCCAAAATCATTCTTCAGAGGATCGATGAGTACCGAAGCGGCAAATTTGGGACCTCCATCGCAGGGGTATTCCTTGCAGGTGATTTTAACAGTCAAGAGGCGCAAGAGGCCTATAATGTCTTGACAGGCTCGGAATCCTCCTTGGTCGACACGGCAAAGGTTGTGGAACCAAGTCAGCACTACGGGGATTATTATACATGGACAGGGTTCGGGCATGAGGGACAGGATCCCACGCGCATTGATTATATCCTGATGGGACCTGGGAAGAACAAACTTGGGTCATGGAAGGTCAACGGATACGGCGTGTTGGCCAACCGGTTCGATTCTGGCGTGTATCTGTCAGATCACAGGGCCGTTGTCGCTGACGTCACCTTGCACGACTGAGCTAGATCCGCTTGCCTTGCGCTTTTCAGGACTGGAAATGGAAGTCACCGAAGTTCTGAGATCTGCAGGCACTGTACATGGTCCCATGGTGATATCGTTCCGCGATAAAGCTTTGCTCATGCCATGGACATAAGCATTTGTGTATTTAGTCAGAACATGCAATGCCCATGGGCTGCAAGGGCATCCATGGAGGGATAGATCGCGTTCAAGATCCTGGATTGATCTTGTGATTCTCACAGGTAACTTTGGCGGAGGCGAATTGATACTGAGAATGAGATACCCATAGAAGACACTAGCGTATCATGTTGAGCATAGTCTTATGGTGGCTAACCTTTAACGGGATGGTACTATCACATGATCGATGAAAATAGCCTAGTATGTGGAGCAGTATTTTTACCGTACATGACCGCAAGTATGTAAGGCAGTTTTTCAAGATCCATACTGTAACATTTGTAACTAACTTCGTGATATCCCAAGAGAAAAGGACTAGAATGATGCGTGATACCTTCAGGATGTTCCCAAATAGGTTGTACAAAAGTTTCTCTCGTAGAGCGGTCTCTACCATTGCTGCTTGCTGGTGCCCGGAAGCTCCTCCCCCTACGCTCTCTGGCCCTCCATGACGGGAACGGACAACTTGTAACGCCCTTTCTGCCCGCCCAGTTTTCTGCTGGCTTTTTCCTCTGGCCTCTCGTGTCTGTTCTTTCTTCTCCTCTTTTCCTCCCCCTATTTCCCCGTCATAGCGCGAAACAGAAGACTCAGAGAACAGCCGGCGAGAAGAAAGAACCCCACGCAAGGAGAAACGAATCAGTCGACCGACTTTCCCGGGTCAGTGTAAGCAGAACAAGCAAACCAGATTGCTGAGATTCATCGATACTTGCCCGTTCCTCGGTGCGCCATCAGCTGATTAGCCGCCTTCTTCCGAGCGCTGATTATTCTCACTTTCTCGCGGCAAAGCGCAAGACCCAGATCCGGCACGCAGACCCATCCATTGCCTCGTCCTGCCCTGGAACCCTCTGTCCGGCGTTTCTGCGCCTGGTGGTAGCTTCGTGCCGTTATTTTACTTTTGTTTTGATAATCCTCTAATTTACCTCCTTTGGAGTTCCTTGGTATGTTTTTCCCCAACCCCAGTATTTGCGCGCTTGCTTCCCTCCTCCGCTTTCGCGACCGTTTTTTGTCCGTCTAGTCATCACCCATTGATTACTTTGGTGACGGCTCTGATTGTGGCGATTCTTGGCTTTCTCGGGACATGTGGCTGTTTCTGTTCAATGGGGCGCATCGCGTCTCTGTTCAATGCACCGTCGCGTCTTGAATAATCTTACGCTCGTGTATTCGGCCTGGATTCCCAATATTGACTCGCCTTTTCTATTGCAGGTTCCCTCTAAGGATGCTGTTGTAGGCTATCGTTGGTTCTTGGGTTGCCACCATCGTCTTTCAGTATCTGATTGGAATGTTACCTCGTCTTGCGATTGATACCCGTGTTTCCTGCTTTTGTACGAAGACTGCAACTATTAGACGAACTCTCTGGCCATGCCTCTCCCCGATCAATCGCAGCCTGGACAATTTCTTGGCGACTTCCAGGCTGATGGCGTTCAAAATGACCTGAGCGCGCCAGGCCCCATTGCGGGGAGCGAAGGAAACAGTGTGACCGGCTCCTCAACAGAACATGGAGCGAATGGGGTGGATGCCATAGCCGAAGGGAAACAGAATGCGAAAGCAGTTCTTGCAGCTTCGGGAGTCTCTCTACCCTCAGCCGAAGCTAGTCATAGCGCCTTGAACGGCAAGACGTCGCCCAATTCTCTGTTGAGCAACGCCAACGGTTCAGCAACAAGTAGAAAGCGATCTCGCGACGGTTCCGTTATTCGCTCTTCTTCTACAGAAGACCTACCCGTCCGCCTACGTGAAACCCCGGCGGATAAAATACTTCTCGAACAGTATGTCGAACGAGAATTCCGCCATTCAGCATTGACAGCATGGCACAATCCCAGTCAGGAGTTGCTTCAACAGAAGCGCGCAGAGCGAGACTACTATCTGGCCTTACGCCGCGATACCCATGGGAATCCGGCCGCCCTATACGGCGTTGGGTATGAAGGATTTGGGAATGCCAGGACTGATCTGCGCAACCAGCATCCGCAATTGTTATACCCCTCTCATCGGCGGCGACCGGGAAATAGAAAGACCAGGGAGTTGCGAGTTGCGCGGAAGGACATGAAAATACAGAGTGAGCAGGTGGAGGATCTGGTCCCTATTCGCTTAGACATCGACTGGGAGAAGATCAAGATTCGAGATACCTTTACGTGGAACCTCCACGACCGCGTCGTATCTCCCGATCTGTTCGCCGAGAAGTTGGTGGAAGATCTGGGGCTTCCGCTCGAGACATGCACTCCTCTCGTACGGATGATCTCTCGGAGCATCCAAGAGCAACTCGCGGACTATTATCCCCAAATATATATGGAAGAGGATGCGCTTGAGCCCAATCTACCCTACAACGCTTACAAGAACGATGAAATGCGCATACTTATCAAGCTCAACATTACCATCGGACAACATACCCTCATTGATCAGTTTGAATGGGACATCAATGATCCCTTTAACTCACCCGAGGAATTTGCTGCCCGTATGACGAACGACCTCTCTCTCTCCGGCGAATTCACGACTGCAATCGCGCATTCGATCCGAGAGCAGTCGCAACTCTTTACCAAATCACTTTACATCCTCTCCCATCCGTTTGATGGTCGTCCGATTGACGATCCTGACCTCAAGGCCGCATTCTTACCCTCCCCATTAGCATCTTCTTTCCGACCCTTCCAAGCTGCCAAGGAATTCACGCCATATCTATACGAGCTGAATGAAGCGGAGCTCGAGCGCACTGAAGTGTCCATATCCAGAGACCAACGTCGGCAGAAACGTTCCGTCAACCGCCGCGGTGGCCCAGCCCTGCCAGATCTGAAAGATCGTCAGCGCACCATTCGTACAATGCTTGTATCGTCTGTTATACCCAACACTGCAGCGTCAATTGAAGAGAGCAATGTGTTCAAACGGTCCGGATCGAGTCGTCACAGACGCGCCGCAGTTGGCCAGCGAGACGGTGGTGAGGAGTCCGATGAGTCGGATAGCGACGAGTCATCGATGACGGGCTCTCCGGCTATCGGTCCTCATCTGGCCCAAGGAACAGCCCGCACAAGAGGCATGAGAGGAGCCGCAAGCGCAGCTCACGCCGCACTGCGGGCGAGTCTGGCTCATTCTGCCACCCCTGAACCTCATCACGAGCCTCGGGTCTCCGCCAGAAGACGAGATTACCGGGAAGAGAGCATGGACGAGCAAGAGAAGCTCATTGTGAAATTGAAAATCTCTCGAGAGAAATTTCGCCAATTTCTGGCCAACAGGCCTCAGTCCTTACCTAACCCTTCGGTTTCTACCTCTACGCCAGCCACCCAACCAGTATCTCAGACCGGCACACCTCAGTTACGGACACCAACGCCGAGTAGCATGGCCCCGCCATCGCAGCCTAAACCCCAAGTCCAAGTACCGAATACTGCTGGCCATCTTCCTCAGCGGCCTGTACAACAGCTTGGGGCTGTTGATGCTACACATCCCCCTCAACCAGGCGTTCCCGGGGTAGGTGCCTCCTTCTTCACTGTACTCCTTCTCGTTTATAGCTCTTTTTCAGCTGTCTAGATTTCAGTTTGGTCGCTTGCTAACATCACTCTTGCTAGCCTCCTCCTCCAGCCTGGCTATCGGCAGGTCTTGCCCGTTTGAACCGGTCACATCCGAACGACTCGTTTGAAGGTGTGATGCGCTACACGGCAGTTGATACGGAGACGATGTTACCAGTCGCAAACGCAAATAGCCAGCCGGGCCACCGATTGAAGTATCAATATCTTCCTCGGATTCGCTGTCACGATTGTCCGGGTAAGTTGTACACTCCCGGTCCGGGAATGACGGTCGACAACTTTGAGGTTCATTTGAGGAATCGACAACATAAGGAGCGCGTAGAGGAGAGGCTCGCAAAGGCAGCTGCTAACGGTGGCTCCTCATAACGAGTACATGATTAAGTGGTGTTTTACCTTTCGCATCAATGTATACTTTGTTCTTTCCCTGTGGAGTCTTCGGGACCCTTTGTTATTTGGTGTACATGTCTTTGAGCGAATGATTAAGGGTAATTAACATCTCTATAGTCTTTGGTTGCATAACCATGTATTTAACGGGCTGTATGCTTGGTGTATCTGTTGACTATCTCTTCGTGTGGGTTTTGGGAAAGTCACAGATCCCAGGACCCTTAGGGAAAATTCACCCTATATCATCCAGTTTTCATGATATTCAGAAGTCCAGCATGCGTACCACAGCGTGCACGTAATATGCAACAAATGGCCAAATCCCTTGATGCGACTTGTATGTTCATTGCCAATGGTGCGTAGATGTCAGGTTCGACCCGTGGGTCCTGGATCCTATGTACGGGCATTGAAAAACATGAATCTCCTTGCTCCTTGCGCTGCGTCGAATAAGGTATGGCCATATATCTCTCTGATGGATAGTCTTAGCAAGAACTCATGACGTCCAGGCGCACTTCACCGGTTATATATATCGTTGGGGACTAGGGGTTGGGGACTAGGGACTTATGACCCCAAGAATCACACATAGGAACGCTGCTCTCTTGTACCCGCAGACCTGATCCCTGAGTATACCCAGTAACCCGACACGTAACAGCATAGATTATGAGTCTGGATATGAGCGCTGATGTTATGAGTATTCCGTACACCCTTGTATGCCCACTGCGGAGCACAGCAGAGAGTGTTACAACAATCACTATTCCCAGGAAGGCCACCCCTTGATATTATAATATATGCAACCAGCATATAATCGACGTATAAAGCGAGTGTCAGCATCGCAAAAAATATGAGTTTTGTCTCTCCAATTATTCTAGAAGGTCACCATAGGAGACAGCTGGTGTATAGGTTACTTAAGCGAAACTTTATTCCCGTCCTGGCATCTATGGCTCAGTGGTAGAGCGTTCCACTCGTAATGGAAAGGTCCATGGTTCAATCCCGTGTAGATGCAGTGATTCTTCTTTTTTTCCCTGTGGCCCATCCCAGCGTTTCCTTTCGCATGAAGGAGATCTTTCAGATTTTCCTTGTCTATTCCTGGTAAACAGGACAATTATTATACAGCCAGCCATACACCTAGCAGATGGAGGTGGAGATCGGTTCTTTCATCGCCAGCTCAAATATGAGGCCTCCTCTCTGCTCAACCATTTGTCTCCTTTCCCATCTATAAGTGGCTTTTTTTAGTGATTTATTTCTCTCAGTTTTTTCTCTTATCCTTCTATAGTATGTCACATGATGCATCTTCAAATTATTTTGACCTTCTACGAAAAGTAGAGGAGCTGGGTTGTAGACTAATTATCTATCATTATGGGTTCCTCCTCCCGATCAGGTTGTGCATGCCAGAGGTTGTCGTATCGTCCTTGCTTCCTAAGCAGTTCGTCCTTGCTTCCTAAGCAGTTCCCAATCCGTCCCACTTTCAGCGATGGTGCCATTAACTAGCACAAAATACGATCTGCTTTCACCACAGCTGAAAGCCGGTGGGCAATGACGAAAGTTGTCCTGTCCTTAGTCAGATCTTTCAGCGCTTCTTTTTGGCCTCAGCTTCAGTGTCCACTGCACTAGTTGCCTCGTCAAGTACAAGAATGGATGGGTCCTTAAGAAAGGCTCGCGCAATCGCTAAGCGCTGGACCTCGCCGCGGGATAGTTTGACTCCCTGCTCCCCGACTTGGGTTTGATACCCCTTTGGGAAAGAGAAAATCCGGTCATGAATTGCAGCCGCTCGACATGCTCTATAGATTTCTTCGTCGGAGGCATCCAACTTAGCGTACCGAAGGTTCTCCATAATCGAGGCACTGAAGAGGACAGGGTTTTGCGATACAATGCCCAAAGCATCCCGAAGAGAACTTTGCGTCACATCGCGAATATCATGGCCGTCAATCTTGATACACCCAGACGTTACGTCATAATAGCGAAGTAACAGCTTCACCAGCGATGACTTCCCGGCGCCAGTGGTGCCAACTAAGGCGATGGTGTCTCCGGGAGCTGCAGAGATATTGATACCACAGAGAGCCGGTTTCCCGTTGTTGTAAGAGAAAAACACATTCTCAAATTCAACGTATCCCTGCACAAGACCAAGATCAAAAGCACCGGGCTTGTCAGTCACAGTCGGCTTGGTGGTAAGCAGGTCGAGCAGCCTTTCAGCATCAATCAAGTCTACGACCAACCACCTGTAATATCTCGACAAATGCTTGATCGGCCAAATGAGATAGGCCCCGTATTGTATCAGAAAGACAAAGTCTCCGGGGGATGCTCGGCCTTTCCTGATCTCATTGGCGACGAGACACGCAAGTACGACAAAAGCAGCCGGGAAGCACGCCTCCATCAATCCAGTCGAGTAAACATCTCGACAGGGACCATCTTTGTTTTGCAGTCATATGTTTGTCAGCTGCCTCTGCGAAGCGATATTTCTCGTACGCGAACATGTTAAAGGAAGAAACTGTCAACGATGCCTGAATGGCTTGATGCATCACACGCGCCTCGCCTCGTTCAGCCTTCGTTAGCTGCCGACGATTGTAGACGTTTCAGCTGGATGCAGAAACTTCCAATGCCAGAAATGACAGTGTAGCGATAAGTACACACAATGCCGCGAGTGAGTTAAACTTAACATGAAGAAAGGAAACCGCAACAAATAGGTCAATGATCGCTGGAGCTATTTCCACAAAGGCGGTTTCCAAAACATTCGTTAGGGCGGCACCTTGCTCTATAGCCTTCATGACCTCGGCAGTGTCTTGCTCAGAGTGGAATTCCATCAGGAGGACTAAAACGGGGCTGAAGGCAGCATTGGTGAGCTGTTTGTACGAGAACTGCTCGATTGTGTAATATATGCCAGTATAGCGCTCCTGTTCGCCGTAGTAGACATGAGCTATTAGGTCTTGTAGGGCTTGAAATGTTCCTTGCTTGCAAACAGTGCAGTAGCATGCAGTTTTGAGGTCCATGTTGTATAGCTTGTGCACTGTATGATGGATTTCTGCGATAGAAATACTCAATACTTACATGATCCTGAAGAACTTCTATTACCAAAAAGATGAAAAAAGGGTTTCAAGGTGTATCAGGAGACATCTAATCAGAAAACTCGTAGATTCAAAGCTATTTAGATAGTATTAACTCTAGGCTCTTAAATAAGATGATTTTAATTTGAATTAGTGGACCTCTCGGATATTAACTCTATTACCCATGAAAAAGAAGGGTTGTATAAAATTTGATTCGAAACTACCAATTTTGCATACGCTAGATGAAATGCATCATTTTCCTCAGCGAAGGACTATCAGCATGACCGTCCTTTTCAAGCCTTCAGCCCCCTGGAAAATCAAAATGAGCAGCTCAAGTCCTACTTGGGCCTATTTTCTGCTAACACCCTATGGTATTGCTGGGACAATACCTGGAAAAGGTAAAGGAATTTGGCCGGCTTCATTACAAGCGATCATGCCCATCAACCCTGCTGAGTCTCCCCATAGCCAACGACAGTGCGGAAACGTGCAACGTTTCCTTACCGGTGTCTGCAATACTCGCCTCCGTTCTCAATCAATGTGCGAAGATATCGGGGCATCCATTGGGCAAACCCTCCGACCTTTTCATATGAGTAACGCCCTTGAGATGAACGTACTCCTGCGCCACATCCTCGCTCGAATTTTCTCCACTGACGTCGAAATAGTTGATTCCAAACCCGTTGTCATCGAAGAACCTGGCCGTACCCGCAACAACGTAGATGGTGAACGACTTGTCGGAAGCATAAATGTTCTTGGTCTCATGACGATGACCAACAAGGATATGATGCACATTATACTGCTTGATCAGACTGAGGTACCTGCCACGCACGCGGTTAGGGAAGGTCCAGTATGCGTCAGCCTCGTCCTCAGTGAATTCAAACGGGAGATGATGATGCGCGACAATGATCTCTTCCTTTGCATGATGGGCGGCTTCGAGCTGATTCTCAAACCAAGCCCACTCTGCAGCGGTGTAGCTCTCAAACTCAGTGAGATTGCTGATCAAGGTGACTGAGTTTAGGAGCACGAAGCGATATCCCTGGTGGCTGAAGGAGCTGTGGTCGCTGACATTGTAGTCCCGGGTGAATTGCTCGAGTGTCGCAACATTGCTGATATCGTGATTTCCGGGGAGAAGATGGACGGGCTTCTTGAATTGGGGGAATGTATTCTGGAAAGCCTGGACCTGGTAGTCGTGTCTGGAAGTTGCTTTAGCCTAGATTCTGGGGGGAGCCACCTCACTGTTACCTATGCATCTGGAAGGGTAGAAAACTAACCTGTCATTGGTCAAATCACCCACGGCAATGCAAAAGTCGAAATCCTCCGTGTTGACTTGTTGGGCAGCCAAACCCATACGGTAAGTATCATTTTGCCACCCATCAAGGCCAAAACCGATCTGGAGATCGCCGAGTTGGCAGAAACGGAAGGGCTTGTTGAAACCAGCAGAAACTTTTCATAAATCAGCTTTGTACAAAGGGAGGAACTGAATCGTATAGATGATGTTGATACCAGAAGGTGCACAAAGCACAAGACTGCCAAGGAGGCCGACAAATGATCTTCGCATTTTGAGTCAGCAATTGGACGTTTTATCGAGTCTATCCCTGATAAAACAAGGGACTACCGAGGAAAAGTCGACCGTTACGACTCTACTTATACATTAGGAGAGGTAGTGCAGTCCTGCGAATAGAAATGCTCGCCTACGGTGCGTGATCTCATTTCCTGGAAAACCCCGAGTAATTCCCGGGAACATTTTCTAAGTCTACCTACAGGTATACAATGGCGTACCAACTGCTTGGCTCTGGCAGTGCACGTGGCGAGGACGGACCGGCACTTCATATTAGTATGTGGATCTTGTGGATTTTGGAGTAAGGTACATAGAAGTTGTAGAACTTAGAAGATTTCTGAATAGGGCCGTGCTGAACTCTATTTTGGCGAACAGACCACAGCTTATCCCTGAAAACCCTGAGCAATGTCATTTATGCTTTCCATTTCGGCATTTAGGTTCGTAGCAAGCTTTACGCCGGACATTTGGTTTAACGCCAAAAGACGATTTTGCTTGAGCAGCAATGCCCGTTACTCAACCACCACATCAGGCACAGCAACCACACCTTCATTTAGACACTCTCCTGAAGGATAGTGCGAGATTAGGACAAATTCTCTAATAGAGTGACTATAACCTTGTAGCCACCTTACCTGCAACTGAATTGGACAGGTCAAGGCTGCGGCCTGGAGTCAATGGATTAAGATGAGGATGTTCGTCTTATGCACAGTCCCTCCAAAGCAATGTGGAGTGACAGTCGAGTCATAGGTTAATCGGGTATACGTGTTTCTCATTGAATACGCCTACAATCCAACTCGAGGACCCTTTGGTCAACATAAACCCCGACGACAGGATAGCCAACCAGACCGGTGTAGCCACCAACAACCCCCTGGCCTCATCCATGCTCATTATCCTGGACATCCTGGACGGAGAGGCAATGATGGTACGGAACTACGAAAACATCACAACGCCATACAGAGTGTCTACTATTCACAAAGACGGCCCTTGGTCAATAATTATGAACGACTCAAATAAGGCAGCCCTCCGCGTCTCCTCATGCTTCACCAACCTCGTTTCCAAGACATTCAACGTCGACATGGCTAGTTCCTGGCAAAACTGGGAGCCACGCCTTTCTTGGGACCGCCGTAGCAATAGTTTCGATACCGAGTCAGTCCGACAACAGCTTGGTGCACCATTAACACCGGATAGCATGAATCATCGCGGTGTACTTACGCTTAATCCCAAGTCAGAATAGAAAGGCTTTTATATGGGAATCGATGCCGCCGAAGACGACTACGACGCCTTCGACACTTAATTCCACTTCATAACTACATTCATCGGTCTTCTCCCACCAGCACAGCAAGCTATTGCGTCGACGGACACACCACTCGCGAACATGGGCATTCTCCTCTCGAAAGCGAACACAGCAGACACCAGCACAGCAGACCGAAGTCACACCGACCTATTCAAAGATGTTCTACACGATACAAACAGTCCCGCTCTCGCCCTTCAAGCACAGATAACGCGAGGAACCCAATCAGCATACTACGAGCACTTGATGCGGGAGAACCGCACGGCGTCCGCATCAACCGCGTTTTCGTCCACCGCTTTGATTCCAGTCCGGTGGGATGGGTTTGTTGCCAGTGTATCGATCATCGCAGCGCATTTTATTATACTTGCGCTTATTACGGTGTTTTTTGTGGTTTATACAAGAAATTCGATGGTTGGGAATAACTGGCAGGCTGTTGCGCAGGTTGTCTCGGAGGATATGCTTCCGGTTTTGGATCAAGCGTCTGAGGAGAAGGATGAGGAGGTAAAGAAACGTTGGGGAAAGGAACCGGTAGCACACCATAGTGCCCTTCGATATTGGCCGAATGGCCGCGTAGCTATTGGAGTCGAAGCGAAAGAGAGACTTGAGTAATACTATAATATACAGGGTTATAAAGGTAGCAGTATAGGTGCTACTTGTGATCTACCTCGCCATTCACGCAATAATAGGCTCGGTAGGGTCAGAATTCATATGATTTGTGCATATGAAAATCGATATACTCAAATTATATATGTGTACCAAGCAGGCTTCTCAGAGTAAGCTCATACGCAGGCACACAGCAGATAAGAATAATGGCTGGATACTGCTCCACAAAGCAAGTGAGGCGATCATCCGAGCATCAAGAGCCAATGTCGTGCTAGATATATCATAACTACATTTATATTACCCCTCTTTCGGCTTTCCGTATTTTGGATTCGTACAGATCTGTAGGCATAAAACCGGGCGTTCCGGCCGCCTTCCTAACGGAGTCTTTTAAGATTCAGTTTATGTGTTTTACAGGAAATTCTACAGTAATTTCATGTCCATCTTGTTCCTCGTCTTCCTACGGCTTAAATACAGGCCAAACCCCAAGGCTGAGCGATTGGCCAGCTTCCAACTTAGTCCAAAACTGTCCGGGCCCGAAATTGCTGCCCTTATCCTAGCTATTAGCTTAGGCTTTCGGACAATCTCAGTAGAGTATAGTAACTGGCGAAAGCGACGCGAAGACCGCCGCAATAAGGACGAGAATGTTGCTCTACAAAAACTACTAGCAGGCAACGGGGAGGGCAGTGCAGGATGAATACGATGAGGATCTTCAACTCCTAGGTCCAGTCTTTCGACGAGGTGATAGTAGGGCTTTCGTTTCTTCCGTCTATTTCCTAGGGCTTCTATACTAATAATCGTTCTAGGCACAGGGCGAGAGCCATTAATGCATCAGCTCATTATACTTCAATCGACGATAATCTCTCTTCTACGTAATCAGCAAAACGACATATCCTACGTGATGAATCCAAACCACGATTCAAAATCTGATATGCCCGGACTAGTAGTTCGCGCGCTCATTAAAAAAGTTCAAGGCTAGAGAGCCGTATGTTGAACTGGCTGTTTAAACCTGCTTCATCATATTTTAGCGAGTAGCCACAGAGGACTCAGGATGCACTTGACTATCTAGGTTTCTTACAGTACAGAAGGGATAGATGTAAGCTTAATGCACGGACGGAACGGGCCGTCGTGATTAGAGCTGAGAAAACGAGCTGGCAAGCTACACGGTAAGGTGTATAGATAGTAATTGTCTATGAATATGATTTGCCAGCCTTAACCCGCTGCACTGGCCCTCGATCCTGTTCATCCTGTTGAAAGACCAGCTCCAACCGCTTCTCTGCCTCCAGTTCCTTAACACTGACTAGATTTCGGAAGGTTTCTGTCTGTGAAATGCGCACACTCGTGTTCTCCAGTACCTTGGTGGGCCTTGAATTGAACGCCAACGCTGTAATGCTCGATATTGTGTCCCAGGCATGCGAGCTATGCCCTGTGACGAAGGTGTACACAACATAGATAGTTGCGTATAGACAGTATAAAATAAGGATCGAAATAGCGATTCTGATTGCCGTCCCATCCATATTCCATGCAAAACCCAAAACATGGGACTGGAATGTCAGGATCAAGCCGGGGGGGTTGATCAGGTCACCAATTCGGGTTACCCATCGGAAGGTACCATCGTGGAGATTTTGTGCTGACATGTTGAAGGGACCTGCTGCGTGAGACATGCCATTTGCCACTAAAGAGGAGACAATGGCTTCGTGCATCATAGGGCGTGGCGCGCGTGAGTACAGCGGGTAGCTACCGTTTACCGGGCACACGTTCTCAGTCAATAAGAGAGACCGAAGGAGATTGTCCGCCACCGTTCGATTCTGATTACCAATTTGGGTGGTGATGCTGTTCGCCCAATCTTTCGATATGGAGACGGCATGTGGCGGCCATGCTGGGAGAGCGTTGAGAAAATCCCGCGGGAGAAGACTTTCCACTCGCTGGTCAAATTCCGTGGCTGACCCGTTTGTTGCAACCACTATCCTGGAGGTTATGTTGGCCCACTGCCCGCTTACTGCACATGCGGACATACTGATATATTCTTGACCATTATCACAGAGAGCCGGCTGTACGACGATGGCTCCTAGCGTTCGTTCCGTCGAAAAATGAATATCATCCACCCAGAGGATCTGCCCCTGCCCTTGCTTCTGAATTTGGTCCCAAAGCTGTCGTCGGGTGATATTAGTGTAAGTTGTGGTTTCAACTGCCGTGGCATTTGCAGCAAGATAAGTTACGGGGAATTGAATGGGGCGGGTGTCGTTTCCGTCCATAATCGCATTCAGCGTGCAAATGGTGCTCACAACCGGATGTGCGATTCGGATGCTTGCCTCACCAACTGTAGCCGGGTTATTCACTCCTGCAAGTGAGCTAATTACGGCCCTGGATAGGCCTGCTGCAATTGGGACCTGCTGCACCGTAGCCACTGTGCCGTTGGGGGCAAATTGCACGTATAAGGTTCTTGTGAATGTCTCAGAGAGGGATTGAGTACGCGGAACAAGAGACAAAAGATCGACAGAGTATAGTGGTGGCATCTCCTCGACAGATTTTCCGTATCCATCCCCCAGATCCTTAAACGCTTGCTGCGTCCCGACCAACGTGGGCTGGTCTTGTCCCACGCTTGGAAGGTCTCTGAGATACTCCCAACCGATGGCAGGGGATTGTTCATTTTCTGCGTTGAAGACATATTTTAGCCGTGTGCTTTCGACTCTTGGCAAAGTCATGCCATCTTACGGTTATAAATTCCATCTACTAAACGCGAGCCAGGCTGGATAAATGCCGTCGGAAAGATATCACTGTAGGCGTGATCCAGCGCTAATTGGTAGTCTGGTATGCTGAAATTGACGTGTCTGGGCAACATTGCAATAGCGCTCGCGGGCCCGACAGCAGAAGCAAGTAAGATGCTCGCAGGAACGAAAAGCACAAACCCCATTTTTAGAAGCAGTGGGAACCCAGGAGTCGTCAAACTGGCACGGAATTCAGGTGACCATAAATAGCCCACTTGTGTGGTGTGATATGCAGAGAAAATAGCTCCAAAGGGCACCCCAGAGGTGGGTTGAGTGAGAAGGTATTGTTGGTAGGCGCCCAACGCCGTCGCGATCGAGATCTGCATCAGGATTTCGTGAAACTTGGCGATGAATTGAAGTAAGCTGAACCATTGGCTATCGGTCCCAAGGAACCGTGTTTGGATGTTCAGGACGATGAGCGCTATTGCCCCTGCCAGTGGAATCATATGGAATTGAAGGAAATAACGAACAGCGGTCGACCGGTTTCGCCGTATCAGTACTTTTCGAGGCTCTACCTTTGATCGGTCCTGTCCATCTTCCTTGATGCGTAAACTGCCGCTGGAGTCAATACTGACTCGGTGAGGTGCTACTGGTTCATTTGACGATGTTGGTTCTCTGGGGAGAGCAGCACAGTCAACCTTTGGCTCCGTCTCTCCAACAAAGATAATGATTAGTTAGGGACATACTGATGGATCTCATTGGTATCCCGTGGATGCCTTGCGGAGTGGAAGTCCTGTAAAGGGACCAGAATATCATAGCTTGCCCCGCGGCTCATATTGTCGCAAGCTGGGTACAATTTAAGGGCCAAATACTCCTCCAAGGCAGCCCCCAGCTTTTAAACATGTCAGAGGCCCTAGTCATTGCTCAGCCACAAATGTAGACCATTTTAGCGTGTTTTATGTGGGTTCTGTTGGTTAACATAATCTTGTCGATCCAAGCCGATTAAAGTTATAATTCTTATGTCGGACAAAGTGGGAATCGCCAGCGACACATATTAGTACGAGGAATAGTAAATTTCTAATATAGGGGACATCGACTAGGTGCGCAAAGGCCCAACAAACATCCGAAATAGTTGGATTTGCTGAAGTTCCATAGAAGATCCCAAATGAGATTGGCGCTTGGCATGTTGGAACTGATTTAATCCAAGCGGCTCGAGAAATATTACCAGGTCAATTTGTATTTTGTATTCTAGATACAATATTGAATATACAATTTGCTTAATCTGGGGCCAATGATTATGCGTTGAAATATGCATTCTTTCTCGCTTTGCACAGCATTTTGAGCCTCCTATATATAAAGAAAATGATGTTTCTCCGATGTTTATCAGGTTGGTTGATCCATCCTGAGATGGATTAAACAACTACCCTCAGCTCAGATCAAGTTCTTAATACGCCTCGTTAAGTATTTTTTTGCAGTTGCTCTCCCGACCTGATCCAGAATGAGAATGACGATGAGACGGCGGGTCACTGGTTTTGGCCTAGTCATAATCTGAACTGTGATAAGAATGGATAATATGTACTTCAATCTTTTCTGATATGATGGAACCGTTGAAGCGGCTTGTGGATGTATTGAAGCGTTTCCTTGATAACAGTAAGGTAGAATAAACAACAAGGCAAAAGCGGGTAAGCAAGGGGTGGATCTATTCGGCTTCTGGCTTAGCCTTAAGTATTCGGGGTCATGCGTTGCGCGACCCTACTATCTTAAAATGAAGACTGACATCTCAATAGTAAAATTTGCTATAGTACAATATATTAAAGATATAAGCAACCTTCCTGTTGTAATTCCCAACCGAGCCGCCAACCCGACCGACCGAGCCGCCACTTTCCCATTCGATTCCAGGAACCATCGACAATCACCGGGAACATATAAAACCACCATGGACTACAAACGACGGTCTACGATGGGACCTCATGATGACTTCAAGATACGGACCGGCGGGGAAGGACTATATAAGGACACTCATTACCATTATATTTAACACTCTTAGTTTTAGTTCCTCGCGTTCAATAACAATATCTCACTTGAGTACAAGTTCACTCGTCCGATTCGTCAGTTACTCTCTACTATTGAGTATACGTACTCAATAGGCCTTGCTCTCATCTCTCATGTTATTGTGCTTGTGCTACCTTTGACCTGTTCTTAATCCTGTCCGGATCACTATATCGCCCGACCATTGTCATACCTGTTCGATATATCAGTAGGCTACCTGGTCGGTAGGCCACAGGCAAGTATAGGATATAGTTCGACACTATATCACCCGCTCCCAAAGTAGTTGACTAGCAGAGAACAGCAGAGACGGATTCCATAGTGTGACAGGAGATTAGGAAATCTAGTATTAGACAGCGTTCCAAGTTGAAAATGTGTTATAGACTCATAGAGGATCCGGAAAGTTAATTATCATGTGTGACGGTCACCTTGGGAAGCACGGATGCTTTATCCTATTATCCTATTTAGCAATCCCTCCTAATCCTTCTGCTTATCTTCTAAAGTTCCATAGGATAATATGGGCCAGATGACTTGCTAAGGGTTTAGTAAGGCCCCTTCAACGTTGCAGCTTAGTTCTAAGCCATAATGTAGTAGGGGTTAGTTAGGCTTTAGATTGACGCATGCAGCGCAAAACAGGGCTTAGCCAGGCTTATTCGGGCATTTTCTAAAAGGAGGAAAGACTGTGGCTATATGCTAATAGTAGAACGCTTAGTGTTTTAGATTTTACTCACTCCTCTAACCAAAACAGCTGTTTTGTAGTAGATGGATTATGCCGTGCCTGAGTACCCTACTGAGGCAATGTATGCTCTAGAGTGGTGATGCATGCTCTAGGGTCTTCGTCCACGCCCGTGTCATCAAGAAGGATCATACTCTTAAGTAGTGGATAATTGTCTATGGTCCCCTTCTCTTCAATCGCCCGGTTCCCACCGATGCCACTAAAGTCGCCATAGTCCCTAACTACGCCGTTACCTAGGATGAGTATGAGGATAAGGCTTCTATCACCCACACTTAGGGATCTATTAACGAGGAGAAGAACCCTCGTACCGCTAGCACCCCTACCGAGGCCAACGAGCCATAAACTAGTCAAGGTAGAGGCCAGCTAGCTAACTTAGAAGGAGATCATAGCTTAAGTCTGAGGCCCGTCACCGTGAGAAGCTCCTGAAGAGCCATGGCCCTCTAGGCTGGGCTATGCGGTCCCTCAATAATACCCCTATGAGTGCTGGTGAGATCTACGACAGTGTGAGCCAGCCACACCGCAGTGCGTTGATATTTGAGCCGGACACGTACGATTGAAGAATGTCGATGGACCTGCAGAGTGTACCGTTTGGTGCATGATCCAACCCGAGGTCTCCCGGCACATTTCGGTATCCAACATCGGCCACGGGATCAGTGCTCGTACCATTTCGCCCAATTTCCATGGCACATCGGGGACAGTGGATATCGCATCAGCGATGGCAGAGATTACTATCTTCACCGCCGGAAGCACCCTCAGGGAGAAGAGGTGCGGTCAAAGCTCACAACTGAATTTGCCGTCCTCTACCATGATCTGGATGGAGCGCATGGGTCCCAGTGGTACTCTGGCCCCTCTTCAGTTTAAAGACATTGACAATCTCCCCCTGCATCAGAATGTCATCCGAGAGACCCTCCGTCTCCATGGGTCGATCCATTCGCTCCTGCGCAAAGTCAAGAATCCGCTTCCAGTTCCCGACACGCCTTAGATAATTCCCACGTCCCATGTCTTACTTGCTGCCCCAGGAGTAACAGCCCTCAGTGATGAATATTTCCCCAACGCCATGACGTGGGACCCTCATCGATGAGAGATATAAGCCCCCGATGAAAGCAAGCAGGATATCATTGACTATGGATACGGTGCCATGTCCAAGGGGACCTCCAGTCCATATCTCCCCTTCGGGGCTGGGCGCCATCGTACAGGAGTTGAGTTGGGATCCCTGTGCTACCTCCGCCGGGTTGTTGAAGACAGCTCGGACTTCTTTTGTAACGCGGCCGAGGGCTGTGGGATTACGGGAGAGAGGCAGAGGCAGAGGGCAGCCAGTAGGAGCATAATTGCAGTTCAGGAAGAATATTTCATAAGGGTAGCCATCGTAGCACTTTTGACATATTTTGGAACTGTTGGACTGTATATTTGCTACGCCAACAAGGGTTTTTGGCATGTGTCAGGCCATTATACTGAAGGACTAATCATAAGTGCTATAAGCCCTGGATATATGTATGCCTTGGACCATGTACAATTTGTATTTACTAAGGGGTCAATGTTTCTAGCAGCTCCCCCATTCAGGTTCAGCACTACTATCTCTCAGTGGTCGACATCATCTATCAGACCCATCTTTGGCGCTCAGCTAACCAATGCATCACAGCGTGCCAGCACTGCATATAGGCGAATAGAAATTTGACATTAGCCGCTCGATTTCCAAATCCTCTACGAAGTCCTATTAGTCACTGGGCCAACCACGGCCCATTGCCCTGGTAAGACTGACGGATCCTTTACCTGATGGTTCCGAGTATTTCTCGATAGTACAACACTAAGCCTGTATTTACCGGCATTAATTTGTATACCCCCCTGACAAAGCCATGAGAGGATAATTGCCCTGCATGTCAGAACAGTTATGTAAGATGGTGACGACCATATGCAGGGTAACGAATCACACTGGTCAGCAACTTAGCTGATAAGAACCGATGCTTATATATTGCGGCCTTAAGCAGATCGGGCCTCAGCGACCTGGTGATGACCTGGAAATCTGTACATCTGGCCCTGATCCTTTGCGTTCTCGCCCATTTAGGGTGCGCTCTGCCCTTCTTCCCACACTATGATACCGCATGACAGAGTTGCCCACCATCCACTGGGAGCTGGGTCGTATTATTTTAAGGAGAACCTCCTCGGGTATCTGAATAACCGATGCCCTCAACCGGTAGTGACTCTGCATGTCGGGTCACAGCCGAACTGCAGCCCGCATGTGGGTAATATAACTACGTTTGCTACCTGTTTTGCGCTCGCGGCTGCCTTACAGAGAAGGTTTGAACGCAACGTTAGGATTAAGTTCATTTTCGTGGACAGCGCACCGACTCCGGGGCAGGAGTTCCTCATTAATGACGTGAAGTATCAGAAAAGCCTAAAGCAGACAGGGGGCTTTCAAACTTATCAAATGGCGTTCGTCAAAGTTCTAAGTCGCTTGTCTGAACTTTCAGGAGTACCGTATGAGTTTGATACGCAGAGTTTCTGGCGTTCAAATCCGGCCTTTTCCAGCATCCTCCAGCGTCTCGTCGAGCGTTACAGGATTCTCGGGCCCCATATGTCTCCGGAGACAGGCAAGTTGGCTATTCGAGCGCCATGCCCACACAACGATTGCGGACTAGCAGACAAACACGGCATCAACAATCAGTATCATGCTGACGGTCGAATCACTTTCGTGTGTCCTGACCACGGAGAGCATCATATAGACCTAACATCACCTCACGAACTCGAGCGGCTCGAGTTCAACACACCACTCCGCAATCTGATAAGGATTCTCCTCTGCAGCCGTGATACGGACACCTCATGGATCATGTGTACTGGATCCGACTACTCGGGTTTCTACCAGGAGCAGCTGACTTGGCGGCTGCTGGAGCATCCTGAAAATACTCCAGTCATCTTTTATACACCTTTGATACTCGATTGGTCCGGAGCCAAATTGTCGAAAAGCCTGTATATCCGAGAAAACGGATACAAATACTTAATCGATGCCGGCCGTCGGTACTTGCTGGATGCTGACACATTTCTGGAGACCGAGGGGGCAATTGAGGCCCTTTTTGAGGAAGCACAAGACTGGGTTGATAAGCCGTACAAGCTCTTCCGGAACTACACTGTCGATTACATAGATATGCAGCTGATATCAAGGGGAATGCGCCTACTTAGCCACCCGAATTAGTTTAACGATACCCATAATTGCAAGCATCCCAAAATCCCAACGTCAGAAAGCACTGATTAATGCTCGAGATACAAGCCAACGAAACCCAAATTTGCGCCTCCCTACTAACTATCCGAACCCAAGGGCGTGAAGAAATCAGATATTTTACTTCTCCCAACTACACTCGGCGTATCCCCAGACATCTCCGGTCCAGATCTATCTCTCCCTTCAACAGGGTTTTCTTGTACTTCTCTACAAAACAAATGATCCTGTCTCGGAAGAGAATAATTCGCGAGTAGCGCAACAGGGGCCCAGCAGTACTTCTGTGGAGGACCCTTCAGGAAGCCGCTGGATATAGCCGACGCGAGACTGATCGGTTCGCGTAATTTCCATAGTTCTAGAATCTCGTACGCGTATTTTGAGACTTTTCTCCCAGCATTAAAGTCCGCATTGCCGATTCCACCGTCTTCGGCAACTTCACCGCGCGTTTTGCCGCGCGAGATGCGCGCAACGTACTCAATTCGCGAGAGGGGCGCTGTTGTGTAGAGCCAAAGGCGTCGGACGCTAGAAGGGAGGAGATAGCCGCGGTACTCGTGATTCTTCCTGCCTGCAGCGATGTTGCTCATATGCTCCGGCTTGATGCTCATAAGTATATCTTCCTTGCTGGTACGAGTGGGGCGCATCTTTGAGGACAATGGTCTTTCCTTGGCCATTTTGAATGAGATGTGGAGACGAGGGCGTTAGCGCGTTGTTTGGCGTTGCAACGTTTGTTTATTTAGGTAGGTTTCTGGGTGTTCTCAGCGACTTCCGGGTGTGGTAGGGATTGGGGTTGTAATATTAGCATGATAAGCGCTGGAAACGAGGACGATGTTCAAATTCTGTGAGGGTCTGTCTGACACTTTTAATGTTTCTTCCTTTGTTTTGAACTTTCCAGATAAGGCTACCTGTTTTCAGGTTAATTATCTAATACAGCTAATCAGGTGACGGTGGTTCAGCTTTAGTGTTCCTACTGGCTCTATTTAAATCTCTTGGCGGGTGGTGGGTCAAGGGTCAAAGCCCCATCAGCAATTTGCGTAGGGCCATAACTAGCTCTCTAGTCTCCACCTACAGAGGTGTGAAGTCATTCCGATTTAGCTTCTCTTAGCTACATATAAACTTATTACCAGACCAATCTGCTTCCTTCATTCTCCTGCCCATTTAGGGCCTTAGCAAGATAGACTTAGCTGAAGACCCATACCCCAAACTAGCAGGCCTATTCTCCAAAACTGTTGGCACTGACGCTGCATGTAACACATTTAGAATATTGGATATTACTGCATTTTCCAAATTCAGTGCCAACTTTCGCTAAACTTGCTTGTAGACATTCAACAGATAGGCTAATTTCATCATAGCCTGCATTATTTTTGGTCAAATCAAGAGAACATCCACAATGCGAAGGAAAGCTCCCATTTCTGTCGACGGTAGCCTGCGAAGAGCCCCGTTTAAGCTGTGGTGTTCAAGTGGCAGTCAACAAGCGCGGAAGTGCCCGACAGCAGTCAAGACTGTTTCAAGCTAAAGGATCGGGCTATCACAGTAATATACAAGTAGGTGTATTAGAGGCATGGATTAATCAGGTCGGTCGTCTAGCCGATGGCCTTACTGACCAGATGCACACCCTCCGGAATTAGCAACGAGAGTAACTTGCACAGCAGCAAAGCTGCGGGTAAGGTGCCAACTGTTAGCTTCTATTCTATAGAGGAAGGAAAGTCGCACTCACGCAGCGGCTGCGGCGAAGATTTCCGCCCTCCTGGCCTTGACCAGAAAACCCAGCACCCAAGAAAACACCAAGTTATACACAAAAACTACCATCAGCTTTGCAGTCGCACCCTTCAGGAGGTAAAGGACGACGATTGAGGACGCTGGCAATACCCCGGAGATGAGAATGCTGGCAGCGTAGGTATAAGATTGGATAGCGTGATAGTCGTATATCCGTGCCCCCATCTCGACGTCATATTTGTCCTACGATAGAGATTTTAATAGCTCCGTTAACTGGAAAGACTGTCTAGCTTTTTCAGGTACAAGACATACCTTTTCTCGATGTCCCCAGTTATTATGGAACCAGCTCAGGAAGTCAGTATAGACCCATTTGGTAAAGTTGTCGACTTCATGCTGCTGACGACAAATTGCAATCATATCGCCTTCGTTGGCTTCATTCCACACGTCCTTCTCAGTGAGCATTTGGATACTTCCGCCTCCACATTCGGGGCGACGCAGCCACTCCCTCAGTCCAGCAGCCTCTACTTTTGCCGGAGCCCCAAAGTCCATGATCTGTGATTGTTGGAGCAGGGCAGCATCTGTTGAATTTGAACAAGAGCATTTCAGTCAATGTTTCTCATTAGATTGCGGAATATGATGGACTTACTGTATTGGTGTAACAGCTCCCGTACTTCTTTGACCTTATCCCACTGGTACGAGTCCACGCTTGGGTCATTGGCTGAACTTTTTAGGTGCCACACGGAGAAGGGGTATTTTCGTTTCTTTTCTTCCTGAGCGGCGAGCTCCTTGTCTTCTTGGATAATATCCTGCAGCTCCTGTTCAAGATTTGCCAGTTCGGCCTGTAAGTAGAGAAGGTTTTTGGTATTGAGGGTGGAAAATCGGCGGAAGTACTGGAACTCAGGGTGCGAGCCCAGAAAGGCTGCCAGCTTGTCGTATCCTTCTACAACCATAGTTACTCTACTCCTTTGAGCTGCTACAACTAGTTCCGTGATGGAGGTTTTATAGACTTGTTCGCCCTTTCGCTCATATAGAGCGTATAGAGCCACAAGGCAGATAAGCAGCTGCGGATTAGTCTGGGACTTCTAGAGGCCCTTGATCCCCAGCCTCGCTACGTACCCGGGTAACGTCGATATATTTGAGCTGAAGGGTTGGGCATCTGTGCATGGGCTATCTGCGCATATGCTGCTTTTCCCACTGGAGCAATGTGTTACGGGGTGTTTTTGAGGTCGACCTCTGCGAGGCTCATCGGGCAGCAGCAGGGTTAATGCACCATAATTTTCCTAAGCCTACTCTGCCTATATGTGCCTTACCATGAAGGTATACCGGCATCAGATCGAGTACTTGGGCCTACCTGATCCGGACAGAGGCGGATCACCAACCTGAAATTTCTTGGAGGAGGGCTATGCTGAGCTGGCGTGCTCCATGTCAATGCAGTCAATGTGTTGGCAAGGCTGTGGAAGGGTCATCTGGTGTGGTAGAGAAACTGCCCCGCGCTCTGACGCTACTTACGCAGAAACTGTCGCTCTGTGGTCTAAGATGACGCAGGTAAAGTAGTAGGAATATCGCATCCATATCCCTCCTGGTACGGTCTGTATCAGGCTTCAGCCCGTTGACCCGTGCTTTTAAGTATAGATTGGAAGAAGTGTAAGCAAAATAAGATGGAATCAGCAACTATCCTCCACATTGACCCACTGCTAGATAGTTAGACAGGCCCACTTCCCCACTTCCTAGGCCCTAAATTGCATACATCCAGGACCTGAATCTTCGCTCATGAACCCTGATATGACGACCGAATCCTCGAGCCCACCGCCGCATCTTTCCGAGAAAGCTGACAGTCGATCACGGACGGTCGTCCCAAGAGCAGATCGAACTGACATCCCTCCACCACGTAGAATCTTGTACTATAAACTGTGTTATCTGCCCATAGACTCCAGTCCACATCCACACTGCCTAATGGAGTGACCTCCCCCATTCCGGCCACCTGAAGGACGATCGATGGGTCGCAGGAGGAGGCCTTCATATGTAATCTTTGGTACACGGCCTCAGACATGATGTTGACATCAGTCTGGAAGTCTAGTACCAGTAATCGACGTATTTTTTTCCCTTCCTTCGTAAAGAGCAAAACATCATAAATGAAGTCGGAGTATGTTGGGTCGAGTGGAGGGAGGGATGCATGCATATAATTTAAATCGAGCGAGATGGTCCTTTCGTCGTTACATGTGGGCGCAAAGGTCGTGTTAGTATGTGGTAATGCAGAGGAATGGAGTTGAGGCTGGATTGGCGGTTTGGGAATTGCCTTGGCAGGCTTCACATGGGACTTCTCGCGACGAAGACAGCAGCCGAATACAATATGCCTGAGATCATGGTGGCCTGGCAACACCTAAAACACGGCCGAAGAGAATAATATCAGCGAAGTAGATGGGATACAGACTGGCTGTGAAGGGGCAAGATACAGATTTTCTCCGGGGTGGATGGTCTTCGATTATATCATTTTGGGAGTTGCCAGATTTCTCCTTACTGCGTGGAAAGAGAACGTAGCCTATATAGTTTATTAGAATCCGATCATTCAGCCCCTTATGCGACCACGATTGCTGTGGAAGAGAAGCACCCACTCCTTCCATGCCGCGGCATTTGAAGATTCAGGTGCTGTGTATATTAGATATGGAAGTTTTAAATGCTTAACAAGAAGTGACCATCCCCTAACAGTTAAATGGAGGGCAAAGTTGTGTGCAAGGCTGTGCCGGTCGGTGTGCGACTTTTAGCCAAGGCAATGCGGCCACGTACAGTATATATGGATGGCCAAAATAGCTGCTTACCCTCGTGATTGTCCCCTTGATCAGCCCTTGATCAGCCTCTTTGACCTATATTTGCGCGCGGACCACCCTGGCGCATTATTAAAACACCAATATGATGCAATATCAAGACTTATCACAGTTTGTATCAATCAAGGATATCGATAAGGCAGGACATGCATTACTTATTGGTTGGTGCGGCTTGACAGAAATACCGCCATAATTTGATTTGATGCATGGCAGGCTGAGGGGCAAGTGCTACATAGTTGGCCCTCTCACAAATTCTCGTACTAGATTAACCCATATGGAGGAATATCCCTGCTAACGGGGTCGCCCTGCGGCCCGTTCCTCTTTCTGCTGAGCCGCTATCTGCTGTCTTTCTTCTTCTAATTTTTGTCGGGCAGCTGCTGCCGCTGCTGCCAGTGCCTGTTCCTCGGCTATTGGATCGGCAGGTAGGACAAAGTCAGTAATCAAACATGTCTTCTGGGGGACAAAAAACACCAACCTGCGGTGAGGGGTGTCAGCCCAATTGTGGCGACCTGGCTGCCTTCCAGGTTGAGAATTTTATGTATGAACGAGCCTCGTCCAAGGATCACATCACAGTGCTCTTCGTGTCCAGGGGGTGGCGTGTCGACGACATAGAACATTTCAGAGTGGCTTTTCCCGCCAAGTCTTTGGGAATAAACACAAAGTTCAATCCGACTTCTGGCAGTATATGGAGGTCCACCATGATTGCCAGCAATGCTGAGAGGCTGGACGTTGTGTGTCGGCGGAGTAAAGGCAGAAAGTCTTCTGCTGCCTTGTGGGGTGACAATATTCACATCAAGTGCATTGTCAATCATTCCATGCAGGGTTAAAGTCCTTCCTTGAACAGGTAGGAAGCACCCGATCTCCTCCATCTGAGTTCGTAGCTCTTTGTGAGCCTCTTTTTGCGTAAGACGAAGTTGAGATAGAGGCTGTTTCACTTATCTTGTATGAATCCTATGCTGAAATGGTTGCGGGCAATTTGCTTCCCAGAGACGGTCCGAGCAGGTCTCACTGCGCATATATACCCGGAGCCCTTCTGGGAGGCTCAATCGAAGCGATAGTTGACCCATTAGAGCGGTGCTGAATCTGGGGCGATGCAAGTCATGGACAAGCCATGGGGTCAGTCGTGTACAGAATGCGATCGCTGCATGAGTTGGCAGTTTGGAAGCAACGAGGCTGGCTTCTGCCTCTGTCAAATCAAAGCCCGCCCGGTTTGCCGGGATCTATAGAAGTCGTCCAGTAAATCATGGAACTACCACGCATCGCAAGAGGCGGTCTGTTCTATCTCGCAAGGGCTTCAGGCTATGTCGCCTGACTCGCTGACGTACAAAGAATCGACGACGAAGTAGGCCACACTGCTTGGGCACGACATGCTGGAGAATAGCCTCGTATACCTAGCGCAACAGATAGCAAGTCTCTATAATTTTGTAACGACTAAAGAACAAAGGACAAGGGTCATTAAAACATTAGGTCACGCATGCTGGGAAATGAATGTAAACAGTGACATGTTATGCATATGAAACCGATCTGACAAATGGCTCCACCATCACAATGACCAGAAATATAAGAAACAATGTAAATGTGTCAATCCGGACCATCCATGCAGAGAAGGAGAAGACTGGGACGCCAAAAGGTCGGGGAGAAATGAGAGAGGAGGTTATGAAACGTGTCACAAGATGCGTCCACCCGAAGAATTAGAAAAATCGAGTGACACAGCATGCGGTTGTTTGGCAGAGAGAGAGCCAGTGATGTGACACACCGTCTTAGGTAGCCGGTCGTGGACCCGATCAATCAGCCTTTTTAGATGATTCCGGCCCTCCACCCAGTGAGAGCGAGGAACACCCCGTTGTACACCGAAGCCCTTGCCCAGCGTCAACAGCTCATATTTCCGGATCTCATCGCATCCAAGCAGTATATCGTAAGACTCCATGTCCAGAACCAAAAATTCAGTGGTGTAAGTGCTCTCCCCGTTTTCAAAGTGCCAATCCACCTGAACTTGATACTCAACCGTGAGCTCTGTCTTCTCTTTCAATCCAGAGTAAAACGGAACTAATTTGCGGGGGCTGATGCGTTGACGGCAGAGACCCAATCGCGTCACCATATCGCTAGACATTAAGTTGACTCTAGCGCCTGTGTCGAGAAAAATGACCCCTCCCGCCTTCTCCAAGTTATGCTTGAGGAAGAATGCGGGAAACTGAAAAATGTTGTTCAGTCTTTGTGGAGGTAGGGTGATGGGCGAAGCAGGCTGTGGGGCGCAATTGGAATGATGGCTGCTGCTCTGGTCGCGGCTGTGGTGAGGGTCGGGGGAAGTTGATGCCAATGTCAATGTCGATGTCGAGGTCAATGTATGACGGGAGGCCGAGGCGGATGGATGGGACACTCGGTCGGCGGTATGCACAGGGACGTCGGGCCGAAAACGAAGGCGAGCCCGTAACCTGGCGACGAACGACGGAGCTATCAACTCATTTAGCACATAGCCAGCTTTATCAACACCTTGGGCTCCTCACCGTGACGCCCGCGGCCAGAAGACCGCATCTCCCGCGATCAACCGTTAATTGGTGATGATGAGTTGCCTTCCGGTAAGGGGAGGCAGTGGGATGGGAGTGGGAGTTTGGAGTGCTGTGACACCGGGAGGCCACGCCGATCCCACAGGGCAGCAACGCCTCTCTCCCTGCCAGGCGAAAAATAAGGAATCAAAATCGGAGCTAGGCCAACCGGCTACAGAAGGGTATGGATAGGGGGGAGGAGAATAATGTGAACTGCGACCAAACGGGAAATGTTCTCGAAGCTGCACGTGCGTGGAGCGTGTCGAGTCCGAAACTGTCGGAGGTATTTGAGAATTGTCACTGCCAGTGCCAGAAGGAGGAAGAAAAGGGGAAGCGCAAGAATGATTAATGATAAGAAAGGTAGGTAGCGATAATGAACGTGAGGCCGACAAGACAAGAGGAGAAGAAGCGCAAGAGGAATTGCGGCAGTTGGACAATCCTAGCAGAAGGGCACGGTGGTGACCGATTTGAGTTAGGCTCGTTGGTTTGATTGATCGAAATCGTCAGGAACCGGAGCTACTACGGAGTCACATCCAGACTAATTCGATCGCCCCCGACACGGACCCCTCCCAGCGTGCGGTCTTGGACCGCGACCGGTGTATTACCCCAGGTCCCAAACCTAGAGGAAACCCTGTCTTTTACAATAACCATGCGAAGCTCCTCGTACATACGTACTTCTTGACAGCCCATGTCCCTGGCTGTTGGGCAAGGCTTGAATAAGTGTTGCCGAGCTCGGAGCGTGGATGACGTTCATCTCTTTCATTCCAGGTTAGCCCCCAAGACTCCAAGAGCGACCCGCTGCATGTTCTTAATCAACTGTCTCTGTGTTACTTAGGTTCCTTGGGAAAGCATCGTGTAAATACAAAAGCATTTACAGTATTCGATTAACTGCTCACTAAATATCATCGTCGCCCGGGGTTCAAAAGATCATTGTGTGGTTTTGGTTGGCGAATACCGACCGCCTACCTACTGACAAGGTTCACCAATGTTTCTAATAACAAGCAGCAATCAGCTGCTCCACCAGCGTGTAACATCTACAGTCCACAGATCAGGTCGCCTTGACCTGACGAAGCCAAACCTTAATACTGGCACAATCACTACCATGGTCTTTTGCAATTAAATGATAACTAAGGTCTCTTAATATATCCATATGTGATCATTCCCTCTATATTTGATATACCACAATAAGGACGGAGATCTGCGACTCGATAAAGTTTAAGTTTTGTATGGGGAAGGGAAGCCCGTTGTGGGTCACACAACTACCGTTGGTTACGCTATCGATCCTGTCCAATCTCCTCGATCAAGGACAGGGACACAGCTCAGCGTGGGTCGGAAAAGGTCACCTGACTAAACTTCGAGGACGTCGACAAAACACGTTGACATCATGTTCTATCATGGATTAACTACTCTGTACCTCACCACCACTACCACCATACTAATGTTCAACCTTCTCCAACCGCAAAACACCAACCACTAAAGGTTTGATTTTGAATAGCATCAAATACCTAACCATCCCCTAATATTTATAAATTTATGCTCATTGTATATGTAATATTAAGGAAGAATAGTAAATTCTAATTTATTTTATTTAATATTTTTCATGAAGTATTTTATTTTTAGTTTGTATATGGTACGCTGTAGTAGAGTGAATATATATATATATTCATATTTATTTAACCTTAACTACCTACAATTCTCTTCCCCTTACTTACACTCTGCATATGCATAATATGAAAGTAACTTAGAATTTACCAATAATCTATTAATATCATATATATAATGAGCATAAATTTATAGATTTTAGGGGGTGGTTAGGGTAGGTATATTATTCAAATCTAATACTATTCAAAATCAACCCTTTAGTGGTTGGTGTTTGCGGTCGGAGAAGGTTAAAATCAGTGTGGTGGTCTCTTAGAAATACCAAGGAATAGCTCATATTTAGGATACTTGAAGAATGCCTCGTCTACTTGTAGTGTAGTAGTGAGCGTCAGCTGCAACTTGTGTTCGCTTATAAATTAATCCTAGCTTTGGATAAGCACATACGACCATAGGGTGTGGAAAACAGGGCTTCCCGTCCGCTCAGCCGTACTTAAGCCACACGCCGGCCGGTTAGTAGTTGGGTGGGTGACCACCAGCGAATCCCGGCTGTTGTATGTTTTTCCTCACCAGTCTTTTTTGACCTGGTCGATTAGCACCACTCGCCGCCTTTACCACGTCTTCAGTCTTGCTTTCTTCCATTCTGATCATGGTTTTGCTCAAGACAAATGAGACTATCGCGAGGCCCTACATGTCTACCACAAAATAAGAGGGAATGATTAAATAATAAGATAAATCCGAGCAGACATCCCGTTCATGGTCATGGTACACATGAGATCCTTTCTCCAAACCATTCTCCCCCAGGACTGGGCACACTCAGTACGCAATCTCAGCGCTGCGGTCTTGCTCCTTTTTTACCCAGAGACAGAACCTCTCACAGAAACAAGGCAGTTTACACACTGGTCAGGAGGAGAAACTAACGTAGGAGTCAACCAACATGCATCCACCGTCATAGCCATAGTCCATACTTCGCGTATGTCAATGTCACCAATATCAAGGCCATGTTATAATCCCAACCCACAAGATCAATATCTTAACAGAAAGACACATAAGACGTTCCTCTGCTGGGAACTTCTTACTAGTCCTGTTTTTCCAAAAGGCACCGTTTACCACCTGAGTCGGAAGCTTAGAACACCATGATGAACTGCTCATACTGCTGGTTGTACCGTTCATATGTCCGGCCTTGCCTGTTTTGAACTGCGTCACCGTAAAGGTTCTTTTCAATATCGGCCTTCACAGTGGGCATGGCCGTGTTATTGTACCAGACAGTTTGTGCCGTGTGGCCTTGCTTCCACACTGGGGTGTAAACAGCAGCGTGGTATGTGTTGTCTGTACCCACCTAGTTTAAGAGACATGTTGGCTTTGATTATATGCTGGGAAGGTTATATGAGGGGGGATGATTTGGAGAGCGGTTTTCGCAAGATGTGGTAGTAAGGATATGTAGGCTGGAGGTTTTGTTAAGATACAGAGGCTTAGCTGCCATGCAACTAGCCAGGTGATATGGTTCGTTTGACTAGGGTGCCTTGCAAATACGGAATGAGGGACACGAAGGCTGGGATACGTACTGGAACCACGTTTGTTGTTAGCGAGGATGATAAATCACAGGATGAGGATAATGCTACCCGGCCTCAAGATGATGATAACAGCAATCACTGGGACTAAGAGATGGCGCTGACAGCGGCAGTCTCCAACGCAAACAAAGAGAAAGCACCGCCTGACCTGCTGGAAAACTGCAGAGTCTCGCGGTGAAGTTGGGGTTCTCGGACTCAAAGCTATCGCAGTTGTAGGCTGCACGCTCCCACATCCACACCATGTCTGGTCCTATTGAGCCAGTAAATTAGGGGATCGAATGAAGCTGAGGAGATATCTGATCATCGGCGGCCCTGGGTTGTTGTCTCAAATCCAGAAATTCATTTTCGTCACAGGGAGGTTCTCCTGGGGGAATGTACGTCTTCTTTCTGTTCCATAGAAACTCAGCGTTCCAAGGAAGCCTTTTGTCTGTCCCGAAGGTGGGAGAGTCCAGAAGCCGGAAGTGCTCTGAAGGAAGTATACGGCCAGCCTGTGAGAACAGTGTCTGTATCATCAGTGAAAGAATAATCACATCTTATATTCCGCCTCAAATACATCACATCAATATTTTAGCAACTGCATCAGATAAAAGGCAGAAAAATTGGCAATGAAAATGGGTATACACATTTCGATGCAACTCCAGTGTGAAAGGAAATGCAACAAAGAAAGGTAATAAGACGGCTCATTCTTAGTCAAGCATCAAGTGCACATTGGCCAGTCATTCCATCAAGGAACGATGAGAAAGGTAAAAAAAAGAACAAGTTGAAATAGGGGGTCATATACATCTCGACGGGAAGAAGGGGATCGAATCCATCCACTCCGACTTCCACTCATACGTTGACTGTTCGAACATTTTTAGCCCCTTCGAGAGGATCTCCTCGTCGGCAACGTAGTCGTCCTGTCGCTGCGCTTGCTCTTCGTCTCAGGCTTCTCCTTTTCTGTCTTTGCGACGGCTGTCTCTGAGGGCTCCTCTGGATCCTCTAGTTCCTCGGCTTCACTCAACTGCTCTTCGTTATCCGATTCGTCGTCGACTTTCTCTTCGGCAGCCTCGCTGCCATTCTCACTTTCTGCCTCCTCTTCGTTATCCTCTTGCTCATTGTCCTCTTGTCCCCATTCATCTACTTCCATGTCATCCTCATCGCTGTCTTTGTCCACATAACTGACCCTCTTCGATGTTCCGCGGCTGCTGCGTCTCCGAGCAGATGTTGTCACTTCTGCATGGGCACCCTCCTCATCAGAAGACCACCCGTCCTCACCCTTCTTCTTTTTCTTGGGTGTTTTCGAGGTTGTACCAGCAGAAGATCTGCGGGGCCGTGATGTCTTCTCTTTCTCCTTTCTTGCTTTCTTGGCAGATCCATTGTTGCCGTTCGTATCGGCCGCCTCCGGTTTTCTCTTCTTGACTTGCGCGTTACTCGACGATCCGTTCTTTGCTTTCATGACAGACCGAACAAGACGATCGAGAAGGTCTTCGGCATCTTCAGGAAGGAAGTTCTTTTCAGCAACCTCCTGGGCTTCCTCGTGGCTGTTCATGCGAGCAAAAATCGAGCTTGGTACTCCGACCTTGCCAGGGTATGTCTGGAGGATGCTAGCAGCGCCCGCGCCTCCGCCAAATCTGCGCTGCTGGGAGTAGATGTCCGCAAAGCGACGAATTGTTGCCTGTGCCAAGTCCGAAAGCGTGTGGAGACGGGTGCTGATTTCGTCTGATTTGGTAATGCCGTCCCGCGTTTGCTTCACCCGCTGCGCGACATGGAATATCAACGACAAGTTGTGCTCATTCGCAACGGCCGTGAGATAGAAGAGAATATAGCGAGCAAAATCAGTTAG